GTGATTATTCTCACTACTATTTTGCTGAGTGAGTATCTGCTTCCTTCCCTGACTGAAGGAAGTTGATTTTTTTGTTTGTTTGTTTGTTTGTTTGTTTGTTTGTTTGTTTGTTTGGGTTTTTTGTTCCCAAAGCCCGTACACAGTTAGTCTATGAAACAAACTTTTTTTTTTCTCACATATTCCCTGGAGCATTGTAGGAATGAACCAGGGAGCAGTGGTGTACAATACCACTACAAAAACATCAGGATCTAAAATCTTTATTAGCCTTCTCCCACAAAGTGTGCAATGCCCGAGGATAATTAAGAAGCCCTGGTCCCAGAGTTTAGGAACTGGGAGCAGATCCTGAGGCATGCAGATGCAAGTGATGACCCTGCTACAATACCCTGCAAAAAATAGAATAGAAAAATTGAATAGTCTAAATGTTTTATTGCTACAAAAACATCAGGATCTAAAATCTGTATTAGCCTTCTCCCACAAAGTGTGCAATGCCCGAGGATAATTAAGAAGCCCTGGTCCCAGAGTTTAGGAACTGGGAGCAGATCCTGAGGCATGCAGATGCAAGTGATGACCCTGCTACAATACCCTGCAAAAAATAGAATAGAAAAATTGAATAGTCTAAATGTTTTATTCCCATTTGTTCTTGCCACCAAGTAAATCTTTTCCCTCTGTGATGTTTATCTCCCTGTTTCTATAAACAGTCCTCATATCCGATTCAGCCTTTTAGTCTGATAGGCTAAACAAGTCAAGCACTTCTAGTCTTCTCTCAAAATATATATTCTCCATTCCCTTGATCATCCCAGTTCCCCTTCTCTGCACCAGTTCCAGCCTGAATTCATCTTTTGATGTTTTGAGTGGTACATAAACCTTTTTGCAGGTTGCTCCAGCTAGGGGGTCTAGGGAAAAACCAGGACAAGACGACAGAACATTGATGTCCTGAAATCCAGAATAGACTGCTTTGTTTGACTGATGTGTTTACCAAGAGGAGATCAAATGATAAAGTATTATTTATGTTCAGTAAAATGTCCTGAATAGGTTTCTATTTCAGTTTTCATCATAGAATAAATATTTAATCTTTTCCCCCCTTTGTAGGAAATGTGTTCTGAAAGGTGAGAGATGTACTGGAGGGGACTTTGTATTATTTATCTGCAGATCTAGTGAGCAGCGAGACTGTGACTCAATTTTTTCATATGCCAGCGTTGAAATTAAAACTGTTTGGAGAGGAATCCTTTTCCAGGTATAAAATAGAGTTCACACATATACATCTTAAATGCAAAACAGTGCTTTCATATAACATATAGAAGGAGCTGGTAATAACCCCTGCATTTAACTTGCCCTAACATTCAGCATTAAGGAAGAATCCTCCGACTCTTTTTAGGACTTAATACCCCCTTTATTTGCAGGAGACTCGGGGAAACTGGACAGAGGGTACATCTACACATGAAATTAAGGCAAAGGAATAAACTCTGGAGCAGTTTCAGCCAGAGTTAACTGCTTCTGGGCGCAGTGTCTCCACATCCATCCAGGGCAGCAGCACTTTGAGCCAGGACAGAAAAGCCCCAGGCTGGCAGGGGGCAAGGAGGGTTAGCCCTCTGGGCTTTGAGTGGGGGAACAGGGTGGCAGAGGGGATGGGTGGGGCATGAGGGTCAGGCAGGAGTTAATGCCTGCAGTACCCATCTAGACATGGATTTGATTGAACATAATGACTGCCGTAAGATAGTACTGTCCCCCACAGTACTATCAGAGTTTACTGTACCCTAATACCAGCACACGTGTAGACTGTGTTGCATTGCTGTGGAGCTAATTAGTCTACTCTGCAGTAAAGTGAACATGTAGAGGCACCTGGGGAGAAAAACCAAGTGCTTTTTCTTTTTTAATATATAAATAAAATGAGGCAAGTCTTGTATCTTGCTGACTTTATCATTCTATTTGGGTCAGTAATTAATAATAGCACTCCCCAGAGCCTTTCCCACATGCCCCTATTCATTTTTGTATCACTCTAAATATCAGTGTGTGGAATCAGAAAAAAATAAATGCCTTAAACTTTGATCATTTGAGTTATAAGATGACATAACCGCTTTGTGGAGAATTGCTGGCTCTGGACAGTAGAACAGATAAGGGAAAGTGTTTGTTCTTTGTAACTCCTCTGCAACTGCTTCGCTCACCGCGGCCTTGGAGATAGCAAGAAGTATGTACAACTCTGATTTCCAGGTGCAGGCAGGAAGTGTTATTTCTCCCTTGTCTCCTCCATAGTTCTCATCCTGATAACAGCAAGGAAGTAATGAAGTAATGTTTATAGCTGCTTTTCTAGCTAATTTCACTATATGATCACGTGAGTTGTAAGCGACTGTTAAAGTATATAAGCCTCCTGATTTTGCTCTTGGGAGGGAACCCCTTCCAAGTGCTTGGGAGATCCATGTCACTTTGGAGTCCCCCCTACAGCTGTAGTTTCTTTTGAATAAAAGCTTCTGCTGACCTGACCCAAAAGTATGCTGCGTGTGTTTCCACGACACGAGTAAGGATCAATTTTATTGATTTCTGTCCTTGAAAACATTCTTCTCCCTTTTACATGACACATTGTCAGTAATTGTACTGCTACAGTTAGTTGATCTGAATTACACCGTGTTAACTGCAGTATTATTCCCCTTGATAAACCCTGCCGCAAGTGTTAACACGAAGAAGCTCAGTAGGATGAGGCAGGGTGGGGAGCAAACTGGACAACCTGAAGAGAGCCTGAAAAAGTTAAAACTCACTTATGACCTTGGGGAGCATGAGTTGTTGCCAGGGATGTCAGCTTTGTGTGAGTGCAGTTGAACTGCTACTTCACATACCCATTGGTTTGGTCTATGACCTGTGTGTACTTGCGTACTTGGTAAAAATACAACATTTATTGCAATGATTTCAGACAATAAATCAAATAGGAAGACGCCTCTCTGTCAGTGGAATGTGTTTTAATCAGCATATTCAGTTAAACAAAAAAATGATTGCATTAACACACATTAAAATTACCTTGGGATAAAGTGAGATGGGTATGCCTGTGCAGGGGGACATGTTGGGAAGGGGAGGGTTGAGTGCGTGTCACAAGTGTCAGGGCGGGAGGACTGCATGGTGGCTCAGCAGATGCGTGTGGGGGGATGCTCTCCAGGCAGAGGAAGGTGTCTGGGTCTCAAAACCCAGGAGCTCAGTGCAGGGGTATGCCGCCTTTGAGTCCTGTGGTAGGTGCTGGCGAGGCTACACCTGCTGTGTGCGCTGGGTTTTCCCGTCTTTCTCTCAGCCAGGCCAGAGTCAGTCCTTGATTCTTTCCCACCTTGCCAGGGCCCAGGCTAGGAGCCATTTGGCTAGGTATTGTGAATTGCAATGATCCTGTACCATTCCCATCTCACAAGTGCTGAGCACAGCTCCGCAATCTATGCCCTGCAGCATGTAGCTGTGCACGGGCCCATGCACAGTTCAGCATCCACATACCCCAAACCCCCCTGCCGAGTTCGCTTCTCCCACGCATGGCCATACACCTTGCCCACCCTCAACCCCCCACACAGCCCTCTCTGTGGTCCCACATGCCTCGCAGTTCACACCACACGGGTACCAGTGGAGTTGCTCCCTCGTGCTTGAGCAGTTACTAATTTGAGCAGTCCCACGAAGAGCTGCCCTCCACTGGAAGTGGTCACAATTGTGAGAGGCCTGTGCCTGCCTCCACAGGCCTCTCTATTTATTTGATTTATATCTACCCTATCCAAAAGGTTCAAAGTGGCTTACAATAACCAAAGAGCCCACCGGGAGGAGGCCCTGGGGGCCTAGATGGTCCTCAGCATGCAGGTCCAGAGTGCAAAACACTACATTTTACCTAGAAACACCTAGGGAGGAAAAATGTCCAGCATACCTACTGCCTAGGAAATGACCTACTGGGTGGCACGGAAGTGGAAAGGGATCTTGGAGTCCTAGTGGACTCCAAGATGAACAGGAGTCGGCAGTGTGACAAAGCCATCAGAAAAGCTAATGGCACTTTATCGTGCATCAGCAGATGCATGACGAATAGTTCCAAAGAGGTGATACTTCCCCTCTATCAGGCACTGGTCAGACCGCAGTTGGAGTACTGCGTGCAATTCTGGGCACCGCACTTCAAGAGGGAAGCGTATAACCTGGAGAGGGTCCAGAGAAGGGCCACTCGTATGGTTAAGGGCTTGCAGGCCAAGCCCTACGAGGAGAGACTAGAAAACCTGGACCTTTTCAGCCTCCGCAAGAGAAGGTTGAGAGACGACCTTGTGGTTGCCTATAAGTTCATCATGGGGCACAGAAGGGAATTGGTGATGGTTTATTCACCAAGGCGCCCCCGGAGGTTACAAGAAATAATGGCCACAAGTTGGCAGAGAGCAGATTTAGACTGGACATTAG